ATCAYCAYCATCAYCAYCATCATTATCACCATCATCATCAACATCATTATCACCATCATCATCAACATCATCATCATCAACATCATCATCATCATCAACATCATCATCACCATCATCATCACCATCACTATCATCATCAACATCATTATCATCATCATCATCACCATCATCATCATCACCATCATCAACATCATCATCATCACCATCACTATCATCATCATCACCATCATCAACATCATTATCAACATCAACATCATCATCATCACTATCATCATCGATCATCACCATCATCACCACCATCATCATCATCATCACCATCATCAACATCATCATCACCATCATTATTATCAAGCTACCAGCACAGTCTTAGAAGTCTAGGTTTTTAAAAGACTTCCATCAATCAAGAATATACTGACTCAGAACGATGGAAATTTGACTGACGGAAGTCAAAACCCTAGTCTTCTTGAATGAAAACTAGTTGCCAGGGTCGATATTAGACCCCCTGGGCTCGGGCGTAATGTTTTCCCATTTCAGTCCACGTGTCATTCCCTAGAGTATCATTTATTTGTTTAACGCTTGCGTTCGGTTGCGCACGAGAAGACACATGAATATGGATACAACTCAAACAAAGAATCTTATTCTCAAGGGAATGACGCGTGGACTGAAATAAATGGTAAAACATTACGCCCAAGGCGAGGAGGCATATCATAAACATGGTTATAAGTATTATGCTTTTTTCCAACTTTATATTTTTAGAGCATCCTGAGGAGAGGGATTCTAATCCCATTTCTCAGCAGCCCCACTTTTGACCAAACCCCATAGTCCCAGCCTAGATGTTTTGCTCAAATTTCACTCCCATTCCTTTGAATTTTTTTTTGTTTGTGAATCCCATTTCCAGTCCATAAAATCCCATTTTTTTCAGCCCAAGAAAAGCAAACCCCAGCTCCCCTTCAGGACCCTCTTTAGAACGAACATTGTATAGCATTCGTTAATTACATGATTATGTCCCTTACAAACCGTTCTTATTTTTGCTCTTCAGAGGAACCGATGCTTTCTTCATCACTAAAAGATGCGACTTCAGTGGAAAAAGATTCTTCCGAAGTTCCAGTGAGTTAGTAAGACACAGGGTGGGTTGCTGGGATTTATTTACATGCATGCATGATTTAGCTGAAACACGTTTAAGTAATACCACATCCTATTTGGCTTGGTTGGTTACCGAGTTTAGTGTAGGTGGGCGTGGGTTCAATTCCCGGCCGAACAAACATCCGAGGAGTGCTGCCTTGTAATTACATCTACAAATCGTTAGACTTCACTGGCAGATACAGGAATTTTTACAGGGGGTGACTATTACAAAGGTGTTACCAGGAATGCAAGGATAAGGGGGGGAGGGGTGGTGGCTTACTGAGGATAATACTAAGAAATTAAGCAATATCTGTTGACCTGACCCCCACCCCCCAACCTTTCACCCCCCCCCCCCCCCCCTCCCCCTTTCACCAGCCCTGGATCCGTCCCAGGACTTTCATGTGGCATTTTATGCCGAGTTCATGTGATTATTTTCAGATTGCAGCCACCGGGCCACCGACGATATCTTCCACTCTGAGTAAGAACACCGATGTTTCATGTCCAGTCCCCAAGCGACCACCAAAGAACAAGGGACAATGGACCCGACAGGAACCAATAGACTTGATGGACTCTGCCTTTTTAGATGAAGAAATCTCGGGACCAAAAGATTTAATCCTGGAAAGAAATCACGTTGAAACATCTCAAGGGTCTTGCGAAGGAACGACGAGATTGGAAAAGATGGACAGCGCATTTATTTCCATTGGCATCCAAGAAAGAACTCATAAATCCCACGTACATGAGCGACTAGAAGTGTCTGAGATCGAGCGTGATTCAGTGACAAATATCATCCAATCAGAAACAAGAGAAATTAGCCAGAATTCCAACAGTGTGTCCTCAAGACCAGATATGACAGATAGCTTAAGTCCTCCTTTACATCCAGCGGGCACGGCTTTGGGAGGAACGCCTGGAAGATGTAGCCCTGGGCATTCTCCGCCGCATTCCCTCAACATGCAAAATCGAGGGAGCAGTCTTGTGTTAGGAGATTCAGGATCTACTACACCTATTAGCGTCTAATCAGATTAGCTAGTTGTAGACTTGATAATAGTCCCTTTTCTCATTCCGTAAATACCGCTGTGTTTTAAGACTGAAGACTCATTTTCGCAGGCTTCCGCCTCGCTTAAGAGTAAATCATTTGCAAATGTCAACTTTAATGTAAAGAATGTGCAGCTTGAACAATACCAATGTTTTGAAATCCCATGGACGTTTAATGGTATTTGTGAGTAGCTGACTTATAAACGAGGCTAAGCCTGTGCAAATGAGTCTGTAGCCTTCAAAAACAGCGATATGCATTGAAGGTGAAACTGGTGTATTAGAACTTATAGTTCCCTTGCATGTGACGTCAAAGCAGCTCAATTTGGATGACAAAACAGAGAATTTTCATTTCGCATGAGAATTGGAAACTTATGGCTGTCCTCCAAGTCGAGCTGCATTCCGATGTGCTTGTGTCTATTCGTCTTGCTGCAGTGTTTTCCCATTTCAGACCAAGTGTCGTTCCCTCGAGTATCATTTCTTTGTTTAACGGTGACACATGAATATGGATACAACTCAAACAAAGAATCTTGTTCTCAAGAAAATGACAGGCGGTCTGAAGTGGGAAAACCTTACACCCAATTGGATTTGGTCCATTAGACCTTATTCGTGTTGGTGCAGTGTTTTCTCATTCCAGACCACGTATCATTCTCATTTCTTTGTTTAACGGTTGCACATGAGAAAGCACATGAATATAAACACACCTTAAACAAAGAATCTTATTCTCAAGAGAATGACACGGTGATCTGAAATGGGGGAATATTAAGTCCAAAAATAAGGTCTTAGTTTATCCTGGTTATCCTGAAGTGGTAGTGTTAATCAAAGAATTTTCAGAATAACCGATTTGGAAGAGGTAGAATTTTAATGAAATTCAGCTTTGCCCCAGGCTTTCTTATTTCTTAAATCGTGTCTTCTTCACACGAGTAGAAACTAGGATATGTAGATCATTGCRCAAAATTATTTATTTATGTGTTTAACACATTACTGGAACACGTACATGCCATAGTTTTAATTGTAATATAACAAAAAACTCGACACATTCACAGATGGCTCCAAATCTACATGCATACAATGAGATGACTATAAAAAAGTTTAAATCCAAATCTTAGATTCAGAGCGAAAATTCGATTCTTGATTTTTGTTTTTGATTTAATGTGTACACGTTTCCAGAGCCGGGGATAAACCGTTTGTCAAGCATAAGGGAAAAAAATTCGGTTAAGGGTTATTAGGTATTTGCGATTTTGAGGCTACAATATGATGGTTTTCACAGCCGCCATGTTGGATGAATTTAACAAAACGTTCGTCATTAGTCTCTTTTGTTATAACATCCAACATGGCCGACGTGTCTTTTGTTATTTCATTCTCTTGGGAATGATTGAAAACCTGCAACAGACCTTCTTACCTTGCGGTGCGTGATGTTTTCCCATTTCAGACCACGTGTCATTTCGTTTGAGAATAAGAATCTTTGTTTGAGTTGTATCCATATTCATGTGTCTTTTACAGATTCAGAACCGTTAGACAAAGAAACTATATAGTCTAGGTTTTGTCCACATAAGGATTTATCCGGTAGAAAGCCTTCGTGCGAACGGCCCTAAGTTAATGGTGGGAGGCCGGAACGTACTGTTTATTGTGAAGAAAAACCTCTCCCGTGTACTAGAGCGTTACCAGCCGCAGAAATCAGTTAAGAACAATCTCAAATTAAGAAGCAAATTTCAAACAAAAAATCCTAGCAATGAAGAAATAATTTTAACTCAGATGATGAATAAATTACAACGAAAATTATCTTTTAACGGTGTACTGTGGTGTTCATGCTTGTATATTAGTACTGATGATAAAAGTACATTTATTCTAATACGTGTACACTTTAAAAGCGCTAGCGTAAATTAAAAGTTTTTCTTGTAAATTAGAATTTTAGTTGATCCATTTTATGTAATTGTTAATCCTTGTTTTGACTTGTCTATGCTGCCATTTTTGCATTTGCCTTTCTTCTTTGAGGATTTTTTCGCATAAATTTTTCGCAAGAATTCTGCATACCCAATCCACACCGCTCTCCAACCCTTGAATTTAAGGTTCACAATAGTCTCTGATGTTTTGCTTTTGCCGGGACCGTGAAACAATATCTCCATTGTGGACTCGGTGTCAGCTTGACCAGTGGGTCGTGGTACATTCAGGAATTTTAAGCCTCCCTTCTTCGATTATCTTTGATACTGAGATCATAAAATGTATCTTTAAGGGTCAAGTRAAATTTAGCTGTAGGATCTTTCAAAGACGCTGGTTTTGCGTCCCAATCCCACAGGAAGGACCGATCTCCGCCCTATTTTTTGTCTCTGTTTACGGTAAGTTTCTGTGATRACCCTTTATATAGTCCCCTTCACAGTTCCCTGCGCCATCTTGAAAGGTAGCTGTGCCTTTGCATTGAAGCTAGACAAGCGGTGAGCTTGTAATTATAGAGATATGTGAATAATTGTCCAAGGTATTAAAAAAGGTCTATCATTGCAAGCTCACCGTTCATCTCTCTTCGATGCAAAGTCACAGCTACCTTTCAAGATGGCGCAGGGAACTGTGAAAGGGACTATTTGAAGCCGGAGGCAGCTTTCGAGAGGTCGTCATCTTCAAAGTCTTACTCTGGAAAAAGGAACATGTCATGGATCAACCACATAGATTTTATTCGGTACCGGATTTTTACGGTCTTATTTTGAAGAGACGAAAATTTTGCCCTTGGTTTAGAGGGCCACAATTTTATGTGYTTTTTATTTTTAGGTGTTACCCACTAGAAATAAGGAATTCATTTCACGTCACATAAGGATTGTTAAGGGATACTGACTTTGCCATTGACAACGGGTTAAAACTATTGTTAAGATATCGATCTTATATGGTCATTTCAGTTTTTACGATCCGTGAAGAAAAAATATCTGGCCTGTCTTTGGGTGTGGGCGCAATGTACTATACCAACCAGGACCAGCTTTTGCGATACCAGAAATCCCCAGCACAAGGAAAGCCACTAGAAAAAGCGCCATTTTCCTTTGCAAGATATGAGACGTTAGCATTTGGATTTCTTACTAACTAACGCAACTATAATCTTTTGCAAGTCCCTTAAGATTGCAGTTAAAAAAACAAGTTATGATGATCCTTCTAAGCCTGTACACCCCTGATGGGATGTAAGCCATCAACAATATCTGAACGCCATGCACAGAGCCCTACTTGGCCTCGTTCGTCGTCTCGTCCATGATGGCTGTAACAGTTGTAAATCCACCTTACTTAGCCTCGATTAAGTGTACGATTGCTCCGTGATAAAACCAACTGCAAGGATAAAGAATAACAGGCATGACTTGTGACTGAATGGTGTGTTTTTAGAAAAAGACTATATCTCGGGCGTAGAGTGCATTTCACAGCCCCCTCACAGCACAAATTACATACATTTACTGTATTTTACCTCTATCTCTCTCCGCCCGGGATGTAGTCGTCATTGCTCATGTACCTTGGCATCGC